TTACGGTGGTAGCTCCCGCAGTTCCACTGCCACACGAGATATAAGTCCTCCTCCTTGCGCTCAGTGTTAGTTTCGGTCACATGCATGTTGCCGTCACTACTGCCTCCCCCGTTTCCATCGCGGGAGCAGCAGGCTAAGTTTGGGGTTGGTTCTGGCCTCAGTCACGTTCGGGTTGAATGTTCGGGCCGTGACAACTTGCAAGATTATCGGGTTTCTGGTTTGGCTAAGGGAGGAGATCCTGGGCACGTTGATTATACCCTTCTCTTTGAGAACCAAATAGAATGCTGCATTAGTTCGAATTTAGCTGTTTGTAATTCTGCATGGAGAGCTCGTATCTCTCTGTAGAACTCCTCACGGGTTATAAAGTCTCGTTCGTTTTGGGTTTTGTTGCTCTGGAGTTCCTTTGGCAGGAGGTGGTTTGGGTCTTGACTTCCTTGTCATTACCGATCTCGGGCTCACGTGGGTGTTTTTTATGTGGCGTGTGTGGGATGGGGTGGGGTGATAGAGGACTGGGGCGACTGTCCCGCCGCATGGCTCACCTGCTCTTCTCGGGCTGAACTGACTGTTGCTGTGGGGTCCTGGACCTCTCCCTGGTTCTGCGGATTTTGTGTCGTCCGCTTGGTTTTCTTCCTGCTTTTTTTTTCTCTCCCCGATGCCGATCTCCATTTGCTCGGTACGGGTATTCCTATCGTCGCTCCGTGGTAGAAATGCTCGTTTCCCGGGTCCTATTTCGGTGCTTGTGTGAGGGCCGCTGCGTACCTCTCCGGACCCGCTCTGACCAGAAGAGCGTAAGGGTTCGCTTTAGCGATTCCTCCACCTCCCTACCGCCGGCCAGTGGAACTGCGAGGTCCTCGTTTGCGGCGAAAGTTGCCGCTGCTACTGCTGTAGTGGTTGTCTGTCGTTGGTAGTGTTTTGACTCTGCTGCTCCTTGTTTTCCTTGCTCTGTCTCGGTCGCTGTTGCTGTTCCACCCTCTGCTGGTTGCTGGAGCCGACCCTTGTTGTACATTTCACGCTTTTACGCCGGGCACTTGGAATCGTTGAATGGGGTCCCTTGCAGTGTATGCAGTAGGGTGAGCATTCATGCTCCTCCATGTCTCCGTTGAGGAGGCCTCGTGTAGAGCACTTTCTTCTGCTCGGGGTAGGCGCACACGCCTTTTCCGTGCCCTAGCCTTTGGCAGACATCCCAAACCTGTTCCTTGAAAAAGTAGGGTTTGCACCGGCATTGCACCATTCATTCCGAAGCGTACGAAGCGTAGAACCCGGATTTCTCGGAATGTGATGAGCGCCGCATCTGACTTGCCCATCCTGTGTGCGCTGAGAACTCTCGGGCGTTCGAGTCCCATCAGTATGATTTTCTCGGTGAGATATTCGGTGCTGAACCCGAATCCGATCTTGGTTATGACTCTCCTACAGAAGTCGACCGGGGCGGCAATGTTGGCTATGATGTCGTAGTCCTGCCCGTACAAACTTAGGTGCTTCACTTCAGCCATTCTTTCCGCCGTGCCGACGTTGGGTGTACTGAAAATCATCAGGTTCTGGTCCTTGGGGATCCGGATTGTCGAATCTCCCCCCTCCTGCTCCTTGAGGTCGCACGCCGTGGGTAGTGCGTTCATAATCTCTTTGGGGGGGGGGGGGGGGGGGGGGGGTTGGCGAGTGTGAGCTTATTGAAGGGCCTAATGACAACATTGTATTGACTCCTGGGAAGTGGTGGGAGCCTTTCGGCCACCGGCTTTCATTTGGTATGAGCGCCGCCATTTTTTGCTGGGTTCTTGGAAGGAGCCTACGGGGATTTCCGGCTTTTTCCGCCTTTACCAGTGTCAGCCGCGATATTGCTCTTCGCGCTCTCGAGCGTTGAAGCTTCGGGAACGTTGTCGGGTTTTTGTAGATCTCGTGCCGATCTCCTATTGTCCCCCCATTTTAGAATCTCGGTCCTAGGGAGGTTGTTTCCCCTCGTCCTGGTCAACCATGGAGCAGTTATGGAAGTTTCCAGACCGTTCTCTTGGTGTATGGGTTCGGGATCTCTGGAGTTCCGACGTATCTCCTGGGGGCTCGTGATCTCGGACAGGCTTGTCCTCAGGGTCCTGGTCCATGCTCTCGTGGTGTGTTTCGGCCATTTCGCCCTAGGGACGCCCTGGCCAGGGGTCCTCGCCTACATTAGGCTTAGGTCCCGCCGCCGAGTGATTCAGGCACAGATCCCTTAATTTGGGAGAAATTCGGGCTCACCGGTGGAAATCTCGGTTCCTCTGATGATTCTGATGAAGATGGTTACGGCGAGGTGGTTGGCCCCCGGTAGAGCCAGTTGAAGAAGTGATTCAGGAGCAGAGAAACCCTTGAGCTCGGAAAAACACGTCCGCACTCTATCTCCTCCTCTTCTTCCTCTCTCGCCGCTTGTTCTGGCTCGAGTCTCTAAGCTCTAAGGCAATTTTATCTAGTTATTAACGCTAGGGAGTGATTCCAAGTAGTATTTAGCGAAAGTAGAAAAACGTTTCAGGAGCGCTTTAAAGGCCCCACTCACAGTGCCGTTTGAGAGTGTTCAAAGGGGTACTCCACAGGTTTTTTTATTGTATCCGACTTGCTTGAAATTTTGTTAAACTAATCCACAAACATAGCTAAAATAGTATCCCAAATATTAGGTAAAAAAATTGTTGTTGTTGTTTTTTTCGTAAAGTTATCAAATTTACAGTTTTGGTCCTTACCATGCTTTTCAAACTGAAAGTCTCTACTGGCAACAACGAAAAAGTGACGTCAGTGGAAGGCAGGGGTTCACTCTTTGGACTGTATTAGCGGCGAGATGTTTCGGTGGCGCCCTCGTTCGGTTACCTTTCGTGACGTCATTACCTTGTGAACAACAAATTCGATGGTGTTTGTAATGGGCATGGTGGAAGCCTGAAATCATAGCGCTCTCAAAGCAACACTGCCAACACCGTCAAAATTGAAGTTCTTACATTCCTCTTATTTCCGTCGATGAGAAATCCTTTGCTGACGTCATAGACAGCATTCGGCCAATTGTGGTGGGCCGACCACAGCGACGCTTTCGTTCGCTCACGTCGCCAATACATTTTGTTCCGAACTGATTGGAAACAGTTTCATGCTTTCAAATGAATACTTTGAAAGCTCGCTCCAGCACGGAACAAATGATTGACATATTCTATTATTTAGACTGCTTGCTCGACTGGCGAGCCTGCCTGCCACTGACGTCGTGGCACTGAAAAGTGAACGAATGTTAAAATGTTGGTTTTGTATCATGTTCATTTACCGATTTCACAATAACTATTAGGAATTTCGCGATACTAAATAGCATACCGGAAAGGGTAAAGGCCGGAGAGACAGAAAATATAGTTAGTTGACGTACCTCAAAAAAACTATTGAGTGCCCCTTTAAATTCGTGTGACTGCGATGCATCTACGAGAAACCAGGAATAATAATTGGGGTTGTGTGGATATTTATACAGCGTGTAGTTGGTCAGCCATTTCAAAGTTGCGACGAGTCACTCGCTGTAGATGAGCAATTCAGCCAGTGCAATACAACCGCTAGCCTGGGGTCTTTAACGTGCATCACGCAGTAGCAAAGAAACCAGGACATCCCTGCTTCGTATGTCGCATGCCAAGATGATTCCTTGAATTGGATTCCACGCTTCATACTTAGAGCAGATATGCCGGTGACTAGCCTTCGTTTCTCGACGCGAGGCAGTCAAACGCACTCAAGAGCTCTCAAACGCAACTGTGCGTAGGGGCCTTTACAGTTCATTCAGCCCATCCGCTCCGAAATAATACCTCAGTGGATCTGACGTCACACTTCAGCTGTCGCAGTGTTTCAAATTACGGGTTGAGTAAGTGCCCTGATTTCATTCCTCGTCGTACAAGAGCCGTCAACATGTTTAAACAAATATAAATTTTTTTATGAAAGCAGGCATTCATGTGTTTTATTTTTCCATGCCAACCATCTTTAGATTTTATCACTTGTAATGTTTCATGTGTCATCTGTGTGCAGATATTTTTTTTTAATATTATGAACTCGGTTCTGTATTATTTTTCCAATCCCTCATTGAATGAGTCTATGTTATACATAATGATAATTTGGTAGTTTATATGTTTTCCTACGACAAATCGTTTATTAACTCGTCCTTGTCATGCGCGTTTGGGTGTTCAAAATGTGACAGGTAAATGTTCAGCCCAAAAAACGTTAAGAATGACGTATGCAAAATTTTCTACGCTGAGATTGAATAGTGCGTGATCCGATAAATCTGAATTCGAAAAGCTGAATTATCAGTAAAGAAGTTGTCCAAACCCTGCGGATAACAAAGTCATGGCGAGGAGGCGTCGAGGAACGCTTGAGAGAAACGCGATAAACGACAGAAGGGAAACGATGGGTAAAATATATTTAAAAAAATAAAAAAAAACGATATCACGAAAGAGACAACGTAATTTGAAGTCCCAAGCGATTGACGAGACCAAGAAAAAACCCTCTTGCCCCGCACATTCAGTAACGCGATCTGCGAAGGAATAAGGTTTGACGTTTCGCCTTCTCAATATCCCAAAGAAAGCAGTATTTTTAGGTAAGGTACTTTATTGAGATTCGTTATTGACCCGCCCATAGCCTCCTCTATACTTACAAAGCCTGGCAGTTCAACGATGGAGCCATAGAGTGCCCGGTCACAGATTTGGAGCGTGAGGTCAGCCGCACCACCACAAAATCTACCACTTCCTTGAAAAATTATTGCTTTGAGGTGAGAAGCAACCAGTGTAAATCGGGCAAACGAGCGCATGCAAGCAAGCCCGATGTTGATGGTCTTCTCTTTACTTGTACTCGTAAAAGAAATGAAGGAAATAGCAAAAGGCAATCTGGATTGTGATAGCTCGCTTCCGTTGCTAACGGCCGATAAGCCGACGGTCGCGGTGCGGGAACTGAGGAGGCGCCTCTTATCGCCCCTGTGCTCGCCGTGTGCCAGACGTCTGCGAAGAGCGAGCGAGACATACAACGGAGCCCCACACCGTTTTAGGATGCCGCCAACCTGTGTGCCACTGTCCACGGAATTCATGCCAGGCCTGGACTGGCGGCCGTTATGTTTCGAGCATCCCCTTCCTTTTGACCAGGTGTGCCAAGTTTGCGGAGTACTGTGCAAGTGGGAAAATAAGCGCCGAAAAAACACGGACAAAGAGTAGATTGACAACGACACAGGGCGCTGTCAATCTACTCTTTGTCCGTGTTTTTTCGGCGCTTATTTTCCCACGATGTACCAACTGGCCCATCTAAGCATTTTATTACTGTGCAAGGAAAGAGTCGTGCTGCCCTGTTCCCACACACTCTGCAACGTTTGCTTCGAGAGCACCGTGAACCTGGGTTGCGTGTGTCCGCTAGACACAGCCAACTTCGACAAGGATGCGGTGGACAAGTTGAGGTTGCGACCGCGACAGTTGCTGAAACTGAGTGTGTCTTGCTGGAATGCTGAGCATGGCTGCAACTTCGTCGGGCCCGTCTCCGAGCTCTTGGATCACTTCGAAAAAGAATGCACTCACCACAGGGCTTCTTGTCCTAAGTGTCATCAGGACGTGCCACGGACGGGCCTCGTGCAGCACTGCGTCCAAGACTGCGACCCCACACAAGGAGCGGAAGCGCTGCAGCCAAGGGTGACACTGCAGGGAGTACAGTTGCGTCAAAGCTTGGAGAAAGCCAGTGCTGAAATCAAGCAGTCTATTACTGAACTTAAGGACAGCTACTATGGGCTGCAGGACAGTGTTAACACCGTCGCGGATGACGTCAAGCTTGAACATTCACAATCAAATCGAGCTGTTACTGAAGTTCTGTCGGGCGTCATGCAACAGCTTGAGAAGACGCAGCCAGGTCTGACTAAGCTGGGAAAACAGTTACTTGAAAACTTTGAGAACGCCAGAGCGGATATCAAGCAGTCCATGGCTGAACTCAAAGATGGCTACTCTGGGTTGCAGGCGAGTGTCAACGCAGTTACGGATGACCTCAAGCATGGGCCTTCATCAAGTATTGATGCCGTGTCGAGTCGTCTCGCACATCTTCAGAGAATGCAGTCAGATGCGAATCACCGGGAAGGAGAGTTACTCGAAGACTTGAGGAGGTCTTGTGCTGATATCAAACAGACCGTTTCTGATCTCAAGAACGACTTCTGTAGGCCGCAGACAAGCAGTGGCGTATTCAAGGATGACGTGAAACTCGGGCACTCAGGAAAGAGGCAAGTACTGGCTAAAGAGGACTGAAACGTAGTTTCAGCATTAGAGAATGTGGCTTTTGTCGGTAAAATTACATTTTTCTTGATCTAAACCCTGAGACACGAAGCAATAAAATAACGGACAAGACTTATCCGTTATTTTTTTTTTCTCCATGCGTTTCGGGGTTTAGACTTTAGATTATATTGTTTCCTAATCAGCTCGCGTGCGTATACTTTCGCTTCTGGCAGAATTTTGACCGCGAAAAGTCAACGCTGTCTGATGCATATAAGCTTGCTACATATTTTGAGGATCTAATGTATTCTTTGCGCTTGTTGTGTCCATATTAGTAAACCAGTGCACCTGACAAAATTCGGTGAAATCTGAGGAAAAACGGCTCGTGATTCCCCACTTTAAAAAAGGGATGTACACAGGTACTCTCTTGAGGGGGGTAAAGCGATGTACCATATATAACCCGCTCGGGGAGTCCTCCGATTCTTCTAAATCTGGGAATACTAGTACTCCCCCTTTATGGAGGGTAATTTAACACCTCATCCGAGTCCCCCTGGGACTCATCTGTTTCCCGCTACCAAGGCTGTTATTCAAATCCCAATGTTACACCCCGGGACCAGTGATTCTCCTAATTTGGAGTTCTTGCTGGCTTCATTCACAACTCCTAGGGGCTCCCTTGAGTCCCCTTATAAAGGGTTCTTTTTAATGTCATTTTCAACTCCCAGGTTTTTGCGTGAATCCCCATATTATATGCGATACAAAGTATTCACTACGAAACCCAAGGACTCTCACGATTCCCATCTTTTTTTTGCTCTCTAGCACCAAGGGAATCACAGAATTCGGATGAATACTGAAGGCGTTGCTTGGCACCCTTTCTAGGTACCAGGAACTCATGATTCCACTTTCTATATCTGTTCGCTGACAGTTGCATGAAAATACAGGCAGCCATCTGTGCTTATGGCATTTGCTTTCCCGGCAAGCTTCCTTTCTTCCAGAGGAAGCAATTTATGAAGCAAGCGTCTCAAGCAAGGGCTCACAGCTTGGAAACCGCACGTTCTCATCTCCTCGTCTCCTTTAATGTCTCTTCGTATGGGAACGAACACGCGTTCTTACCCAGATTGCGCGAAGATTAAAGTTGTGCGGGCACTCTCCTCCCCCTCTTAAAAATGCCACTAAAAATTGCTACCGAGTATAGTTTTAATTCAGACTTCGCGGCTGGAGATGCATTTTGTTTTTCTTTGTTTCGCCAGAGTGGCTATCGTATTCTCACTCGATACTGGCTCGAACACATTTGTAACGAGAGTGGTGACCTTTCACGTCGCCCAATCGGAATAATAAAACCACAAATGCAAAGCAAAGCTGAAGAAGGAAAAAAATAGTGCTTCTATGTGCCTGAAATTGTGGCCGATACTTGCCACGTTTTTCGCGATATCGGTTCTGACGTCACTGATTGTCAGAGGTGGAATGCTCCTCGCTCCGATATTGCCAGAAGAAAGAAAGGACGATTGAAAGGCATTGAGGTTAGCCTGAGCGTATGGCTCTAGCAGACTACTCTACACATCGCGACTCCAGCGACCTATAAGGGGCGCCACCAGCAAACAAACATGGCGCTGGGTCCAGGTCGCGTCGGCTCGGCCGGGCCGCCTGAGCGGGTGGCGCACTTAATTTAACAGATTTTCTTTTGTTCAATGCACAATTTTATAGGTACTTGAACTGAGACGGTTAAGTGTAGCCGGTGCACATAAACTTGCAGGGCATAGTTTTGTGTTCCCGGTGTTTTTTGTTCTTTTCATATCAAACTTTCGTTTCTGAGACTTTGTTCAAAGCCGAAACTAGAGTCTCCGGGAAGACGATAATAGACTTTAATCAGTTTTCATCAGCTAAGGAAAGCGGCGATCACTACAGAATTGTTCCACCGAAAGTAATTTTCAGCTAACTCGCATGCCTCGACCATGCGACTTATCTGTCCGCGAAATCGAGGTTTTGTGCGTATTCACGTTTAAGAAACAGCTCCAGTCGTCTGCTCGGTCAACAACACAGGCTGCAGGGAGATTACGGAAATTAAGCAATCGCCTCTTGAGCCAAGGAGCATGTTAACCCCCTGGCGCCCCACTAAGCAGCTTATACTCGTATTTCAATTCAGGTTTCAGTAGCAATCGATAAGTCATTTTGACGAATATGCGGGTTATGTATTATATTACGTAATATGTCCCACTAAAGCGATATTAGTATATTCTTCGGGTTGAAATATGAGCTTAGTTGACTAGCTATTAAGTGGACTGCTGAATAAAGGTATATTTGACAGACAGAAAGATACTACTTAAACTCAGCCAAATGGCTCTAGCCGGTAGCACGGAGACGATTGCGGACAAACCGAAGAGAGTCTTCATCGGAGATTCACGCAGAACCTTTCTGCATTGAACTTGACTTCGAATCCTGAACGGAGAAAATTAGTATTTTTGTGGCCGGTCAACCTGAGCAATGTAGCCTTTATTCTGCTGGCTTCGACGGGTGTATAATACAAATGTTGGAGGCGCGATAAATCATAATGCCGTGACAGCTTCTAACTTTGCGAGACGCGTCCCCCACCTTTTGAAAGCGGACAATTTCCCTCATTAATTGTATACAGCGAGCAGGTATTCCGGAATCAAGTAATTGCGAAATCAGCCCAACTCCTTTGGTGTGGTCCAGGGGCTTCTTCGGCGAAAAACAGCCAAGATGAATACCGAACGCACCAACCAGCGTGGGTGGCTCAAACTTGAAGCTAATCGAACGCAACCAAACTCAAGAAAAGCAGCTATCGAAAAGCAGCTATCGCAACCAAACTCAGAAAAGCAGCCATTCACTTGGCTGCAACATTAGTGTTCCCCCGTGAAACACCTTGTGTGTCGTCCTGAGTCCACTGTTCTACATTATTATAAAGAAACCAAGTAGTCGTCACTTTGAATGTGATTCGAGGCAGACAAGAAACCAAAACGTTTTTCCGCGATTCCTCTTCATCCAAGAAATCGAAAGCACGCGACCGTGTGTTGTGGAGTAAACGGGCTGTCAAACACGTGATGGAAGGAAACAATCTACTCAGGCTTCACCACACTAATGAACACTCAAGTAAACTTAAGAAATATTCGGACCTTCGTCAAATTACATTGTTCGCCACCGTGCCGACAGCAGATGTCCGCGAAAACCACCAGAGGCTCGGAGGGGCACAAAGCGACCTGTTATGGCTGGTTCCCGGTTTTCCCGCTTGGTGCCGTCCGTTTTGCTGGAGTCGCGATACATTAATGATATGAGGAAGGCTAGGTGGCGCAAGCTACCGCCCGTTAAGGAAGGCTAGGTAGCGCAAGCTACCGCCCATTGACATTTATTCATCCGGGTACAAGTACCACGACGAGATGATCAGACTATCAGAGTGACATTATCTCCCATCTGTCAGTGCCAGTACTGTGTCTCGCAAAAAATGTAAAGCATGCGTGTGTTGCTTTTGCGGAGTATTGAGTAGATTTCCAGCCGCCGCGCACGTTCTTGACGGTAAATGGCCTATAATCCATGCTTGACCGTCTCGGTGGCGTGAAGAGTACATACTCTTGCCAGTTGGCGTCATCCCCTAGCCTTTGAGGTCATTCGATATTGAGCACCTCTTTTAAAGGCAGCGCCCTGCTGAAAAATACATAACATCTGCGCCTACACACCTTTCCAAAAAAACACTCCTAGGCCACCGCCACGCTGCTGATGCTGATGCGGCTGGTGCGACTCTCGCGCCCTCTATCAGCTAGAAATTTTCTGCCACACTCTTGGACTGTGAACACCCGCTAAGCGCGATTCTGTACATATGTTTTGCCGTTTTACATTCGACGTTTTCTGGCTCTCCTGAAAGTTTCCACTTAATTTTTTTTTTTTTTCATCCGTGCTGCGTACCATTTCTTTGTTATCTTCTACTGTGAGAAATAGGGCTGGTAAGTGCCTGACATTCAAGCTTTTCTGCTCGAAACTCACGGGAAACGAAGGAGGTGAAGGACGTCGAACGGCCCTCGACGCGATTTTGCGAACAACTTGACAATTGTTCTCCCCCTCCCAGAGATAGTCCGCGCAGAGTCCTCTCCAAAAAATAGTTGCCTGTATTGGGGTAGGAAACGGGTCAGTCGCGTCCATTCCTTTGCCTTGGTGCTGTTGTAAAAAAAAAAAAAAAAAAAAAAAGGAAGCTCTTTTTAAAACGTGTTCTAAAACGAAGTCAGCTTGGATTCCGTCCGATCGTCAAGATGTGACTGTCGTCGACTGTGAGTGTGTTATTTGAAATCTTTCTCAAATAAATTATTTTCAGATAACGCTCTATCGTGTGGTGCGTACAGTGCATTGTTCGAATGTTCAAACTTATTTGTGAGCGTGAAAATGCATGCCTTTCGGCTACCTTCTGTTGTAATTTATTTTCGACAGCTAAGCGCTTTGTCATTTTACACGCGGCTAATCGGGCGGCGCCGTCAAAACTTATTTATTGTAGAAAAAAAACGACAACTACATTCCAGTCGCATTCGTTATGTCGCGCGCGTAAACAACAAAAATAGTTTAGATGCTTTTTTGCACTTTTGTTTTCTTCAAATGTGGTACCATGCTTTCTTAGCGACCTCGGGAAAATACATGGACCATGAAACACAAAATACAGCGGGAGAATTTAGCCGCCAGCAGTGTTTGAAACTGCGCCTATCGAAATCACAGTCCACTCGGTTAGGGTTAGCAGGGACGCCGGCGAGAGTCTAGCCTCAAACGCAGTTAATGGGCTCGAAAACTGTATTCTGCCACTCGGGTCCAGTGTTTCTTGGAAAGGTGTATACGACCCAGATTCCATTTACCATACAAAAGACCCATGTGAACAAAAATTTAATTTGAAAATTGAGTACTGCATTTTCCGGTTTTTAAGTCGCACTTTTTCATAAACAACCATTTTCAAGCAAAACAAGAAGTTGGCATAAGTCGTACCTTTGTGTGGGTCGCGCTTATATACTTGTACGGTAGGAGTGGCGAAACTTCATCAATAGGCTCGCATATGTTTGTTGCAATCGCGGTATAGGTTCAAGAGGGAGCCAGTTTCAAAATTCTCGACAGCGAATGAAACGAGATATAAACCGGCGCAACACATTTCCACAATTAAGGTTCATACTCGTAGAAGAATAAAACAAAAAGAAAAACGCATGGAAGTCACGCTGTTTATAAGACACACCTATTGGAATTTCGGAAGAAAAAAGCGCGACTTATATAGCGGAAAAAAAACGATCTTATTATCAGTGGACTACGCAATTTTAAGTGCACGCATAAAATATTGTTGGTTGCAGTGCGTCGCATCAACTAATCTAATAAAATATCATGCGTTCAATAAACAAAATAGAATCATACAAGACATATAAGAACATATAAGAACCACATAAGAAACTTACAAGAAACTTTTTGCAAGTTTTTGGTATGATTCTTATATGTCCTTATATAGTTCTTATATGGTTCTTATATGTTCTTATATATCTTGTATGATTATATTGTGTTTATTGGAAACAGAAATTTCTCATACAAATGAGATTTTTCAATAGGGCATCTGACAGACAAAGTACGGTAGACAAACTTGGCTAAACATCCAGTTTTCCTTCGTGTGCTTCAATTAGAAAATTAGAAAAATAGAATATGTTCGGTTGTTTTATATGTTATTATGGAATTAGATTCATATCGGTCATATGACATATGGCCTGTTCCAATTTACGGGGGGGGGGGGGGGGGGCATCGCACTGCTTAAGTGCGTTGCCACCAGCTTCTTCAAAAGTAAGAAAACAACACGTTTCCGGAGCAAAACATTTGAGGGCTACTGCCTTAAAAGGTAGAAACCGCTTGGCTGGGTTATCATAAACTGTGAAGGACAGAACCGTGCAAAGCGCACGTAGCCAGTTGAGTTATTACCTACCAAGAAAAGAACCGGGTAAGCCTCGCTAGTTCTGATGAGATTTTACCAGGATTAGGTGGTTGTCATTTAAAGTGCCCAGATGATTGTCTCTTGCAAGCACATAAGATTGATATACCACGGGAACTCAGAAAGTCACATTTGCACCACTCCTAACGCCTGACAGCTGTTTTGAGGGCACAATAAAACGTAATTGAATCGGAATTTCCTAACCACCAGCGCCGATGGGGTTAATCTCATGGAAATTTCATTATAACGTAAGTGCCAACTATAACAAACGAAAATTTAAAGAAGTAATAACTCGTTACGCTTGAGCGAAAAAGGGTGAATGTCCTTGTTTGTGTTTACGTGCTGCATTCATGTTCAGAAATATGTAGAGGGAAGAGGTGAGGGAGGGGGTTTGTACAGATTGCCCGGCATCGCTGCAGTGCCATCAACATGACTAAAAAGTCGCCCATTTAATGAATTCAGTTTATTTTTGGCTCCTCGAGAAAAATAACCGCTTTTAAAGAAAACAGCCACCGGCAGGTTAAAATATTTTAAGCTCCTTCGCTGGGGTGTGCCAGATGCCCTTCAATTATTCGGTACGTAAACTCCCAAGAATAGACCATTTGCTATATCCCATGGGAATGGTGTTCTCTCAGCCCCTTAGTGATCGGTAATTTCGACACTACTTTTGGTTACACAGGTTCTGAGCGTAATTCGGGGTCACCCTGAGCAAGCGCTTGATATAGCCCAATGGCCTGTCATATCGCTTTTAAAATTTCTCCTCAATGTCAGCGTTTTTGATACTGTGCATGCTGTCCACCCTTCAACCTGGATGGGCTGCAGAAATCTCTTACATTATTATCATGCTGATATTAAGTTAAAAACGCTAAAAATGCTATAAACCGCCCCGCGGACTCCGAGCTAGATCCTAGTTTGTGTTGTTGTGAATTATCGGCTTTTTAAGCAATTCCTGCTCAAACAACAATCACAAGAATGATAATATTGTAAGGGATTTCTGCAGTTCAGCAAGGTTGAAAGGTGGATCGCATGCGCAGTATCAAAAATGCTGACTTTGACGAGCGATTTTAAAAGTGATATGACAGGTCCTTGGGGTATATTGTTCAGGGTGACCTCGAATTACGCTCAGACACTGTGCGACCATGGAGTTGGTCCAAAATTAGCGATCACTACGGAGCTGAAGGAACACCGTTCCTATGATTCCTTGAGTGCGGGCCGGGGCGCTTGGGAACACTGCAAATGGTCTATTAGTTTACTTTCGCTGGAGTGCCTCCTAAACGTTATATTGCTGTAGGAGAGGCACTGAGAAAAAAATGATGGGCTAAGCCATACATTCCTATAGGGGAGGAAAGCATGCGCCAATGACGCATGCTCGGGGTCAGAACGAAAGAACATAACAGAAAGATGATATGCCGTTGGCCTTCAGAGATCCGCGGACACTTTCCGAAACTTTCCTCAATTCTTTCTTTTTTTTTCCTTTTTTTTTGTCAAAAAGAATTGTACGTTATTGTTCCTTTTTTGCCGAAATCTATCCCCATGTATGACGTGCTCTCCCTCAACGCATCCTCACAATCCCACACAAAAAAAAAAAGTTTTTTTTTTTTTTAATGCGTTAGCATTTATTGTTTTGGTGCATGCAGTCGTCTTTGGTTTGAACTGGACTGGTTCTGTGAGGCCTCGGCGCGGTTCCCATCGTGCTATTTTGCTCAATTGTTTCCCTCGCTGAGTGAACTTCCCCGTTATGTAAGAGGGAAAGTCTTCTCGTACGCTATCCAATGACGTGCCGCCCGCTGTTCACGCGCACTCCCCTTACAATGCATGCAACGGGGCGGAGGCACATGGTTTCGTTTTCTCAGTATGCACAGCCTACGCGACAGCGAAAAACTGAGACGCAGCGACGAAGCCGTTCGCGCGAAACCGGGAGGAAAGACTGGAACTTCGAAGTCAACAGAATGAGGGCCGTAGATGGCGATCGAGGGAAGCTGCAGTGGCTGCATCCCAAGCCGCCGACGCCTGAGGGAACAAACTGGCTTTACAAAGACAACAGTATGCGAACCGTTGCAAGGTTGAAATTTCCATCCTTCGCTGAGCGGAATCCCTGCGCTAAATGCCAACGAAGTTCGTCAAGAGTCACCGCAGCAACAGCGGTGATTTCGGCATATTTCTTTCTTATTTCTTCCGCAAAGTACTAAAAGGAGAGTCGTTCGCCCTTTGACACCTGTCTGGCGCTCCTTTCAAGATGCATTCCTTCTCGCCTGTTGCTCCTCCTCCCACTTTTACCACAACCTGGCTGCATATTGTTTTGGTGCCTAAAGCGCAGGCTTTCCCCCTACATAGGAGGCTATGCCACAAGGCTTTTGATCGAAACACATGGGAAGGTGTCTTTGTTTTTTCTTTCAGTTCGATATCTGCGATGTAGCTTTCAGTTTATCGTTGGAAATGGCGCAACTACACACAGGGCAGTTGTGCCCAACGACTTGGAGGAGAGGGATCGCTTAGGATTGACAGTCTGTCTTTCTATGCAGGTCTACAAAGGAGGCAGTGATCCATATGGCGAAATTGCCGAGGAACATGCAACAGGATGCTGTGCGCTTTGCCACCCAGGGCCTGGAGAAGTTTCAAGTTGAGAAGGACATTGCATTTTACATGCAGTATAAGTTCAATGTGAAGCACGAACCGTTCTGGCAGTGCGTCGTGGGGACCAACTTCGACTCGTATGTGCATTATACAAGAAGGTATTATATCGACTTCAACCTGGGCCAGATGAGAATCTTGCTCTTCAAGGCAAAATCTAGCGAGTATTAATTTGGTAACGTGTTCTAAAAGAAAAAAAAAACAGCCGTCGAATGCCAAAATAGTTATGGACGTTTTGTACATGCGCCAAATTACATCCGCATTGCTGACCTTCTCTTGTCTTACCGAGATACCGAGCAACTGAAACGAACCCTGACCGGCCTCCACAAGGGCCAATAGCAGGAAAGGACACAGTGGAATCTAAAATGGCGATAACGTGGCCTGCTATGGTAATGATGAAGTAAAGTAAACGCAATAAGAGGAAACAAAAACTGAAGGTCGGTTATGGCGGCGCCCATGCGCAGCTGCCGCAAACTCTATTGAAAAAAAAAATCTGCAGCCCTGATGTGTTATGAGACTGTTTCAGCGCTTCGAACCCCTTCAGCCCATCAAATCCTCCAGTCCTTCAGACCCCATCAGCCTAACACCCCTTAGACGCCCAAATGGCTATGAACCCTAGACTAACCGCCGAATTCAGAAACCTCACTCAAACTACACTCGAACTGAAGGGCCCCTCCACTTCCTCGAGGAAGTGGAGGGCCCCTTCAGTTTAAGTGTAGTTTGAGTGAGGTTTCTGAATTCGGCGGTAAGAATGCAGTTTAAAACGCTATTAGAAATTTATTTCAGACATTCAGTTTTACATGCGTGATGTAACTCAAAAAGACGATAAGAATCAACGTTTACTCAAACCCGGGCGCAAGCAGCTCTAGACAATAGCGATCAAACCAAATAGGGGCAACCGAGTTTTTTGTCACAAAAAATATCTTTCGAGGTACTCACAATGTCGCGGGGTAAATTCCTGAGATGTACGGTAGATCCCCAAATAAATACCGAGCAGGTGCACCACACGCACACATACATACTGTCAGTAGCACGTTTAGCGAAGAGCACAAAGGCGCAACCAATAACCGCCGCCGTTGAGGAATCCTGAGCAAAGTCACGGTGTCGCCCCTGATACCATCGTGGCAAACGTCTCCGGCGTTTTTTTTTTCTTTGTTTTTCTTTTTTTTTTTTGCTCGCTGTATGTTTTTAAAGCCAGACGGACGAAGAGTCGCAAAAGCAGGGTACTGCGAGATCTTTTTCCTGATCCGCACACCCACCTGCTCCACAAGATAGGTTGCACGCACGGGACGGGAGGCCGACACTGAGCATCAGCTCAATGTGCATTTAGTTTGCACTCGTTGATGGAGAAAAAACAGGGTGACCAGCTTGTGGCAATGGCTGTATTTCGACTCACTAGAAACAAGTTTCTTTCAAACAAACAGCAAAAAGACCCTTTCCATTTCCCCCACGCACTCTCGTTCTCCTGAGCGAGGGAGAAAGGGTGAATGGGGGCGCGCCCCTGGCCGTCCCTAGTCCAGCCCGTGAAACACGTACACAGAATACACATACAGCAATAGGGCCGCTCGTTGCGGCCGCCCGATACAAAAGGGCCAAGCGGGTTCCCCGACGGGTATATCCTGGATCACGTGATCTCTCCCACAGACCTAATAAAACTATTTTGATGGGTGGTTCCCGTTTCGACCCATTCCCAATTCAACCTTCCCGTTTGTACCTTCCCGTTTCGACCCGGGTCAAAACGACCTTCTCGTTTCATCCTTTCCCATTTCGCCCTATCCCAAAACAACCTTCCCGCTTCGGCTTTATTATCAGTTAGGTCGGTTCCCTTGTATTGTTCGTTAACAGTTGATTAGGTTCAATTGTCCAATGCCTTACCTCCTTGCTGACCTCCACTTCTCCCTCTCCCGAAACAACCTTGGAGACATAGCACCGTAAGATAAACACGGTGTCAAGGTGGGCTCGCCCGAAAATTTACAGCTTTTTTGATTCGATCAAACGGGATGAGGCTTTGGCAAGGGTACCTTTGCAGCAGCTTGCAAAGAGTGGTGCCGTGCGAGCCAGGGCTCACAAGTGGGTCAGCAAGGACTGGAGTGTCGCCTCTCTGATGGCACGATTTCTCTGTTCGACTTTCTCAACAAGGCGAAGGCATTTTCTCCTCTCTGATGTTTTCCTGTGTGCGTGTGTGTCCAGTGTTTGAAATTGTAAAAGAAAGTAAAGTCGCAATCATATGCCTGTCACCCTGTCTGATTTATCGCTCTCCAAAATATCAAGGTCACTAATATGAGGTTTTAGAATAACGTACGCAAGTACTTTGGGTACCCTAAAAATAGCGTCGCGATGGCGACGCTGTTTTTAGCTTACCCATTGTGCTTGTGTATGCAAGACTTCATTATTGCGCGTATCGCGAACAAGCGATCAGCAATGATGCTGTTTATCTCATAGAATGAAAAGGCTGGCATAAAAACTATTACTATCTTTGGACGTACTCATCTGAGCCGCAAGCTCTAAAATTTGGTGCCTGCTTATGCCATTTCGAAGTAAAATTTAAAAAAGCGACAAGGTCGTCTTTGCAGTAACGGTGTCGCACACTGTAGATAGACCGTTTCGCGGTTGCGCGTTATGTGGATCATCTTGAAATAAAAAAATAAAAAAATAAAAAACACTTTAGTGGCTGGAGTAAGAATAATATATTACTTCGAAGCTTGCTTGAAAGAGGTGCATATTTTTAGAACACATTGGCATGCAATAATATTTCAGAAACTATATTCTTAAGCAGAAAAGGTGCGCAGACCAGGGTTAGAAAGATTAGACTTTTCGCGAAGAGGTTGTGATGCGCAGGATCTTATACAAGTGGGTTGAAAATAGACGGGTTCAAACGCAAAGGGTCTTTCGAGTATCGTTTGAAACGGGACGGGTTCAAATGAGAAGGGCGTTTCGGGAATGGGACGAAACAGGACGGGTTCGAACGGGAAAGTCGATTCGGAAATGGGTCGAAATGGGACGGGTTCAAATGGGAATGGGTTGCTTCGGGATACACCCGAACTAATGGCGAGTCACAACCTCGACAAAACAACAGATGCGTCAAAAAAGTATGCGATTGCCGGCGCGCAATTAGCACCCCGGGAATTTCGGAGGTTAATTCCGCGTCATTCAATATATGGTCAGATTTGTATGAGGGGTTGGCCGTTTTGTCCCGCATGTGTTTGGCTCTATAGATTTCCAGAAAAACGTGATGAGGTGATAGACCTGGGTTTCCAAAATTCTAGCTTAAGGAATTAAATATTTCAAGAATTATAACAAATAAACTATTTTCTTTTGGTCCGGTGTCTCACTAATTAGATCACTGCGGTGTTTATTTGGACTAAAACCATGAGATTGGAAAACATAAAAAATGACTTTCACGTGGACATATTGAGTTAGGTAAACCAAGAGTAGGACTGGTACCGGAGTCTTACCATTAATACATAACAAGAGTAGTGTGAAGGTTAAAAATTCACTCACCAAGAACAACTTTCGGGGACACGGCCGATTTAGTTCCAGATTTTAGCGACACGTGGCGTATCGACCTTCGAGCATTTTCGAAAGGTAGCTTCGCGCGTCAACGACAATCTCGCCCCCTTTTCCCTCACCGTCCTGCTACCAAATACTTTACTAGGGGGATTACCTCCTCTCCGCTCATTTGCATTAGGCTCGCCTGCAGCGTCAATTTCCTCCCTGGCGGTCTGAACGTCTCGCCGCGCCGGAAAACAAACAACATATTTTTCCTTCAAAAATGTTTATGAAACAGGCTATGACACATATTGAACAAACACCTGCATCGATCGAACGGCGTGCGGTGCGTCCTTCGCCCACCGGCACGAATGCCTGATAACCGCGACTTCCCATTAGGTGGCGCCTCCCACCATTCCCAATTTTAAGCGGACGTCACCAGCACTTTGCTGGTCATCCAACCATTTAAACTGCGCCAAGCCTGCCCGCGCCGAGGCCATTGCATTGTCGGCGAGTAGGATGCATTTTTCCTAGTAAAGTCTTTGCTGCTACGGTCCACCGGTGCCCTCTTCTTCTCGCGCCGTCCGTCTGCTTCAGACTTGTGACTATCTTAAATACTCTACTCATGGTACTGTATTTCAAATACATTTCGCAGTATCTTGGTATCTTGCAAACACATTGTCTAGAGTATTTGGTACCCTATCTTAATTACATTTCTCAATATCTTGCACTCAGTATCTAAAATACGGTTAAAAATATTTCCTCGAAAACCCTTGGAAAAAGCTTGGGGAAACAAAATCGCCTAAACTATCCGCGGTACTAGGGATCGTCAGACTTGAGGGCAAAGCTGAACCGATTGTAAACTTAGAGCCAAGCGACTGAATACAAAAGAGGAAACAAGGAACGAGCAAAACACAGCCTCCAAATGCCAACAAATGGAGAGCCCCAAGTACGCCTGCGTCTATGTGTCCTCCTGTCCACTTTTTCTCTTCAAGCTGTCTTTGAATGGCACGCAACGCTTGGAGCTAGCAAAGCGCTGAAGCCGTAATCCGGATTTTACTCTGAGACTCCACCTTTTTTCTGCTGCTAGAGTAGTTCCGTCAGCGGAGGACTGTGACGCCAACGCTCAGTACGATCGCAATGAACCATTTTTGGAAATCCCAGGATCAGGGGGTTCAAGTATGAAAATGGCGAACACGTTTCCATGCGAGCAAAGACACTCTCTCGGCCAAAGATGTTAGATCCTCCTACTAGCTTTACTGAGCCGCAGTCAACTAGACTGGGCTTCCCCAAAGCCCCCTGTGTGCTTGTTGTGGTTCAACTTTTGCTCCCAAGCTCGTTCAAAGACCTTTCTTTCATCTCCTTCCGAATGCGGACATTTTTTTTTTTTTTTTTTCATTCTCAGAGTTTGCAAACCCAGTTATCCGCTAGGTGGAGTCATGCCTAAACTAGTGGATTGTGATTCTGAAATTTCGATCATCTTGGCCATCTTGACCTTAGTGCGTCAAGAATAGTTTGAACTGCTGCAGAAGGGGGATGGGGAAGGGTGTTTAAATACGGTTTTATGGACGCTCACCTGTTTCCAGTGCTTCCCTCTTGACGTTCCTAATTTTTTTTTTTTTTTTTGCAGGTTCAAGGAACGGCTGTAGAAAAAAATGTCCCCGGAAAAAAATGTCCCCGGAAGAAATGTCCCCGGAAAAAAAGTCGCCGGACAAAATGTCTCCGGAAAAAAAGGCCCCATGTGGAAAGTAGAAAAAAATGTCCCCATAGGGTTCTCTATCTCTGGGTTTCCCTGATCTTCATGACCTTCGGGCGGTCCGGTCATGTGACCTTGGGAAAAAAGGCACCCTGTGGCAAGTTAGAAAAAACGGTCCGAACAAATAAGGAAATATACGATTCGCCGAGGTACAGATCGCGACACTGCTAGCGCGAACACGACATCGGTGCATTTTCCTATTTTACTTAGAAAGGGCATTAGTTGAAGAAATTTTACCGTCTGCATTATATCCCCAAATAAGCCGACTTATAATAACTTTGATGACAATTAACATTTCGTTTCTATGAGAAAAAGATAGTAAAAAACTAGCGGTCGCTTGTTCGTGCTAACAGTGTCGCGCTTTTTACCTCTCTGGAAATGGAACACAGGTACCTCTAAAATTTCC